GGCGTTGACATTTACCATGTTTATGAACTTGTATTAATGATAATCGGTTCGCGGAAAATTGGTCAAAAAAAAAGTTTAAAGCAATTTATCAAATGGTCTAAACAAAGATGATATAAAATAGATATGGTCTAAAAACAATTGTTCTAAATCACTTATTATCAAAAACACATTTGATTAATTTTTTTTTTGTTTAACTGCAATGACTCTAAAATACATTTTTTGTATTACCAAACCATTTTAAAACAATAAAGCTTTGACATTTATTTGATTTTAAATTAAAATCAGACATAATTATTGAATGTGTAAAATATGGAATCACTAATGAGCCAGAAAGGGAGAAAAACATTGTATTTCTAAGGTTGTCATTATTATAAAAATCGCCAAACTTCAACTGTCACCTACTGGAAATGCCACAATTTCAAATCTGCTTGTAACGGAAGAGTTATAGTAAAAAATAAAAAAATACATATGATCGAAAGATCACAATCATCCCGGGGAACCAGAAAAGGTTGAAATAAAAAAGTCACTGCAGGATATCCTAGAAAAGATATAGCTAATTTACCTTCTGTCAGTATGAAAAGAACAATGAGAAATATTAGGGCGAAAGAAAATGATTTTAATGCTCATCCTTCATGTTTGGATGCTCTTCAAATACCAGTAGAATATCAGCTTTCAGCAGAAGGTACAACATTCTTACTTTTGGATTCTGGACCGGAACCCGAGCGTTTTTTTTTTTATATTTCGTGCAAGAGAACTGGTTATTCAAAAAAACGTTAAAGTTATTATAACCGATTTTGAATCGGCTTTAAAATATTCGATTCAGATATTTCTTAATTTTTGCATAAGGGCTGCTACTCCCATTTTTTCCAATGTTTATACTGAAATATAAAAATAAGGAATTGAAACATTTGTATGATACGGATTCAGATTTTTCAAGCTCTATCAAGTTATTCAAAGCTATTGCATTTATACCAGTTACACTCGTAGATAGCGTTTGGTTTGTTATGTAATGACTTCATTCCAGAAGAGGCTAAAAGATATATTGAATATTTTCAAAATACCTGGGTTGAAAGAAGAAACATTGCTACACATTTATTCTCAGATGCTTTGGAACAGTTTTGATACGATTCAAAGTAACTTTCCTACTACTAACAATCATATTGAGGGATAGAACTCTTCCCTAAAAAACAATTTGATGCAAAACAGCCATCTCTGTGGCAATTTATTAAATCACTTTAGAAATAAGAAACCATACCATAACAGAGATAAAAATAATAAAAGATGGCAACAACTTCAAGAAAAAAATATAAGGATACTAAACAACGTATTAGATGGATAGTGCTAAGCTGTGATTTTAATGAATTTTTCGTTGTTTTTTTGTTTACATTTTGCTGTTTTCGATTATTGACTTCCTCCAATTTTGTAAATACGTTAAGTCAATTTTATGTTATTAAATATGATCAAGTTTGCGTTTTTTGACAATTATTAAATTATCTAAAATACAAAAATTTTCATTTGTAGTAATTAGAATAATTGAAGACACAAGTGGATGAATGACCTATGTAACATTTTTTTAAATGGTGTTTTTCTGTGAATAAAAGGGGTTTACGTACCTAAAATTCGTTTAAAATGTCTTCCGTGACAATATATCATCAAATATAGAAGTTGTCAGTGGATAAAGGACCCATGTACTAGGGAATAACTGCCAAAAAATAAACTTTAACACGAACTATCTCGTAAAAATTATTTTGCCACGTAGGCCCTTTATCAACTTGTGTCTTCAAATATATTTAAAAAATGTAATGTATACCAATTCTCTTTTAGGTCTGATGAACTTTAGACTAAGAGATTTTAGATCAATTGATATTAGACTAAATGTTTTATGCTAACTTTTTTTAGACCAATTTTCCGGGAACCCTCAAGATCATCCTCATCTCGAATACTAAGGCTAGAACTGGTACAAAGTATGAGCCTCCATTGATTTTATATAACTTAGAATAGTACAGAATCAACAGCAACAATATTCTACTAATATTAAAATTAAATCAATTTTAATCTTTACGAAACCAACTTTATTTGTAAAGACAACGAAAGCAAACCGATTGATAAAAACACATAAATCCGCAGGACGAGTGATTTTATCTTAAATTAATTTTTTTGGGGTGGTTTTTCGAGACGTTTCAATCAGGAAAATGAAAAATGAAACCGATATAACTGAAAACAAGTGACATTTCAAAAAAAATATTAGTGTTTTAGAAGAGGTTGAGTGGTGTGTACATGTACACACTGGGTAATAAGAAATAAATCGAGAGTATTTAAAGTGTGTAAAATTGAGTTTTATTCAATAAAACTCTGTAAAAATTTGTCTAAGTGCTTTCGGCCTATTAGGCCATTATCAGAGACTCTACAAAAGAGAAAAACGGAGCTGTAACAATATAATCAACTCGTAACATTACTAAACATTGAATAAAAACAAAAACTTGTACACTTACTCCTCAAAAACTATAGAAGAAACATGAAAAGTTAACTAAATTAAAAAGTACAGCAACAGGCCAGTCCCAAGTCTCCACCATAGCTTGCAGCTTGGATAATTAAAAATAAAAGAACCACACCGAAAATGTGGTTAAATTTTAACAAATGAAGTGGAGGTTCATCCGAACATGTAAAACATGTTCGGATTCAGAGGAAAAGAAACTGCTGGTCTTCAACATGAAGACAGCCAGATTTTTCAAATTGCTACCGTGAGGCGGAAGCAAGTTGGGGCACAAAAAATAATAAGTCCACGATTTTTTAAGAATATTGGCAACGGTTGGTCTAAAGTTACCTAGCCAGCTTCGCCTTGATTATTCTTGAAGCGGAATTAATCTTGTCTTCTCCGGCGATTGCTGATTTCGTGGCCAGGACGGTTTTTCCTCCTCTTTTAGCTGGAAAGGCTAGTCTGCCTGCGACTTAGGTTTCACTGGGGTTGGCATGCTCAATTCTGTTGTTTTCAGCCTGACACCTTTTAATTTCTAATAATTTTATAAAAAAATGTGATTTTTACCTTCATTTACTGTATACTTTATAATTCTATTTAATCATTGTAATCTGCTGCTGTTTAAAATTTAGAGGTTCCGCCATAACTTGATATTGCTAGATCAGTGATACCAACCCACTTTTATCATTTTCAATATCAACTTCTGACAATTTTTCACGAAATTCATTTCAATTTCTCAAGTTGGCAATTTTCTTGACAACTACATTGTCAAATGTCAATTGCCACTCAGTCTGTTTTGGGAGACTGTCAAGATGGTCACGTTCTTAAAAAAATCGTGTATTTTTTGTGCCCCAACTTGCCTCCGCCTCAAGGTAACAATTGGAAAAATCTGGCTGTCTTCATGTTGAAGACTAGCAGTTTCTTTTCCTCTGAATGGTTTGTAGTGTTCTGTTTTACATGTTCGGGTGAATATCCACTTCATTTGTTAAAATTTAACTACATTTTCGGTGTGGTTCTTATATTTTAAATTATCCAAGCTGCAAGCTATGGTGGAGACTTGGGACTGGCCTGTTGCTGTCCTTTTTAATTAAGTTTACTTTTCATGTTTCTTCTATAGTTTTTGACGAGTGTACAAGTTTTTGATTTTATTCAATGTTTAGTAATGTTACGAGTTGATTGTATTGTTACAGCTCCGTTTTTTTTTTCTTTTGTAGAGTCTCTGATGATGGCCTAATAGGCTGAAAGCGCTTAGACAAATTTTTACAGGGTCTTATTAAATAAAACTCAATTTTACACACTTTAAATACTCTCGATGTATTTCTTATTGGTGTTTTAATTTATCTTATACTAAAATGAGTACACAATATAATTATCTAGTTTTATCATTTACTATTTCCATGCTGTTATTTTAATTTGTTCTAGTTTGCGAATAGCTGTCAATTTTTGGATTTTCGGTACCCAGACAAATGCATCATATGTCAGCATAGGTGTTATGATGGCCATGTAAGTCCATGTGACGACTCTAGGAAAGAAACCGCAGGTGCGCCCTACGGTTCGGCGGCATTGTTTATAAGCAATGTATGCTCTTTTGTTTTCTAAGTGTGAGTTCCATGTTAACTTGCTTTAAAAGGTACTACCTAGGTACTTCACCTCTGTTGCAAAGTTTTGTTTTGTATTTAGGAGCTCTGGAGGTTTTAATTTCATTTTCATTCTTTTCCTTCTGAAAAGGACCATTTATGTCTTCTTGGGATTGTTAGACAGTGAATGGTTCTTGCACCACTGTTTCATAATTGTTCTCAAAGTTCCCTATTTGCAAAATAACCAGGTCATCTGCTTAAGCTATTGTGTACTAACTGTAATTATTGTACCTACAGTACTTATTTCGTTATTAAAATAATCCATTTTAGATAATGAACATAGTAAGAATTGTCGGTCTATCATTGTTACTTTAGTATGTGTTTAATTCTTATGAACCAAACGACAAAAATTTATTAATTTTAATACGTTTCCCAGTGTATTAAGTTTCCATGTTTTGGTACATACGAAAACTTTCGCTTCTTGGGTAGGTATTCTTTGGTATGTATAGAAATCATTACAACATAGCAAGAATAAAAGATATCCCAAGTGCAAATTAAATTTCCAGTACTTTTAAACTTTCTTAACCAATATTATTAAATTTGCAGTTAGGACACCATCCATTATTGCTATGTTATAATGATTTCTGTACAAACGACGCACAAGGACATAAGAATCATTATTTTTGTAAAACGCACGAATCCAAAAAGCACGTTGTTGTCCCGTAAATTGCTTCATTGCAACTAAAACTTAACACTGTGTATCACCATTTTCCAACTGCATCTTTTCTCAGGAATGTGCCTACTGCGCCAGCGGATGTATTAATAAACGAAAAGATTTTTGAGACACCCTTTATAAGTTGCCTTTTATAAATATCATGTTAACATTAATAAAGAAATATTACAGCAAAATAAAATTAAAAAGGTAAAGTAAATAAAAATACCAGTAATCTTAAAAATAATTTATTCTGTTCTCAACCAACCTTTCCTACCAAAAGTTTCAATCATAAAATACAATCTCTCTTTACCCTGAGGCATCATAGATCTGACCTTATTTAGAAACTCTTCACTTTTGAAATCCATGTCACTACCTTTAACTTCTTGATCTGGTTTCCTTTTTTCTCCGAAAACAACAAGTGATATAAAGATTAGCGTCCAGCTCAACACGAAACCAGCATCAATCTCTAACTCTTCTTCAAATTTAGAGAACGAAAAAGGTTCCGAATCACAGTTTAATTTGTGGAGGTTCGATATAAGCTCTGAATGGTAGAATTTGACAAGATTATCAAATTCCTTTTGCAGTACTTCTGTTTGGACGCTTGTAAATAAAAAGTTCAATAGATCTATTACTGGAGATTTATATGAATATAGTTGGAAATCTATGAAAATGTTTTTGATTGGTTTTCCGTTTTCGTATTTCATCATGGCGTTATTAACCCAAAGATCGCAGTGAGAGAGGGTTACAAATGGCTCCCTAGCTTTGTATATTCTGTTTTCGTATTTGTTCCAGATAACCATTGCCTAAAAAGTAACGATACTATTTTAATAGAAATGATTAATTACATAGTTCGGAAACAATTGAAAAGCAACAATAATAATTAACTACAGTTTATTAAGTGAGTTAATATGAATAAGTAGATTAATCTGAACTAGAATTTACAGCTTGTCATTATTTAACTGATTATTGACATTTCAGTTATTAAACATTTTATACGAGTATTCATTTTAATATTTTCAATGTAAATTTTTTTTTTTCAATTTTAACATATAAAGTGATATTTTTTGTAATCGAAGCAAGTGTCAACCAGTTGCATAATGTTTAACATTATCAAACTGGTTACGAACAATTCATTATGTCAGCAGTTGCGAAGAGAAAGCAAATAAAAATAAAAAACGCTCTGCTCGTCCCGCAAATATTCTCTCGTTACATAAGGCATTTCGTAACTAGTTGCACAAATAGCTATTACTATTGTTCAAATGAGTACGGGTAGCCAAACAATTTAAATAAATAATAAGATTGATGGCCTATATAATAAGTTTAACTAAAAAAAAAAATAGTAATCCCTAATCTCCCAACAAATGAAATAAAACGGCTTTTTAAAAGATTTAAATAATACACAAAATTTAAATCGGAACAGTCGTCTGGTGGCGATATTTGTGGTAAAAATATTTTTTTTACAAAAATAACCAAAATGACGGGTAAGGCAGAATGAAATATCCATTTAAAATTTAGTAATTTTTAAAATATAAACGAAAATAAATACTCAAAATTTGTAACAAAACACTGTTCTATCAATTTTTTACTAAAGCGTAAAAGGAAGTAGTGACAACAGTCACAAGAATGGTGAGGTCACTTCACATATTACACAGATCAGAAAGTTGACAAAGAATACCAAAATTAAGAGAAAGATAAATGGCCATACCATTTAAAGGTACCTCCTAGCAACTCGTTTCCACCGCGCAGTTCCGAAGGCAAAAGTTGTCTCATTATGAGACTTTAAGTTAAATGAAAATGTACATAAATTTTTTAGTTACCAGAGACGTTAAATATAAATAATGCATAATAAAAATCTGCTAAAAATGAAATAATATAAAACAATTTTAAAGTTTAAAATTTACATTTATTATTGACAATCAATGACCCCTTAAAAAACCTCAGACTAGGTAATAAAGAGAGGACACGTAATAAGTATATCGAGCACACGTAGTATTATGTGCCAATTATCTACTGGCCGCCATTATTTTGGTGCTAAGCATTTCGGTGACACCAAAGTTTTTGTTTGTGTTTATTTTTTATATTTAAATTAAACGATATTTATTAATTGCTTTATTACAATGGTTTATTGTGTGGCATATCAGTTTAAAAGTTATAGCGGCAAGAAAGAAGCAGATATTACGTTTCACAGGTAAATGATAAACATCAATCGTTTTCACTTTATATATTTTCTAATATTTTTCCTTTTATTTGGTATTATACAACTTGGTATTTACATATTGTACATGTCTCACTCCAAAATAATAAATTTTACCCACCAAGTTTGTTTATTTTATGCTTTTCATTGACATTTAAGCAATTAATGATATTAAAAAGGCTAAATATGTAATTTTTTCTAGTGGCGTATCGTATAATTCTAAATATTAACTTTTATTAAATGCTAATTTACTTTTGCTTTTTATTTAATTGCAGCAATGTTTATTTGTTATTTTATTTTAGATTTCCTGTGGATACAGTAAAAAATCTTTGGATTTAGACAACGAAAATTGTAAATTGAATGCCTACGTCAAATGATAGATTGTGTTCAAAAAATTTTAAAAGACATTTTTTTTAAGGGCGGACTGTAAAAGACGTTTACTAAATGAGACAGTTTCCACTATATTTCCTAAATTCTATAAATATATGTAGCCGAACTGTGCTAATAAACATAATTAAACATACATATTTTTTAATAACTTTTCATTATTATGTTATGCACTTTTAAGAATTTAGCAACCTTTTTGTGTATAATTCAAACATTACTGTAATAATTGATTGTTTATAGGACTTAAAAAGAAGAGCATTGGATTTGGAAGCTAAACCAGGCCCTTCAAATAGAATTGCAAATAAGGAATTTATCCTTAAAAGCCCTAGCACAGCTTAGAAGACATCTTTTACAACAGGTAGAAAAGAATAAAGAAAAAACAAGACGAGTCAAAGTTCTTAAACAAAAACCTAAAAGATATAAAAAAAGAGTTGTTTCGCTAAAACGTCTTGTTATACCAAATTAGTATTATTTAAGGGTCAGTAATAAATGTGTCTTCATTTATGTATAATTTTTCTTACTAGCTTAATTTAATAATATCCAGATAGCATACTACATCTTAAAGACGTCCAGTTCATGTCTTACTTTCGTCCAAACGTCCTGGTACGTAAAACGGACGGTTTTAACGCCCTGCTCAGTACATGTTTAAAACGTTTTTGTGGGATGTTTTTAGTATGTTTTAAATATGTCAGTAATGTGGACGTTCAACTCTTTTCGTCATATTTAAATATGGCGCTACGACTTGTTCTTGGCGCTGCCTAAAGCGCATGCATGATCGTCATTCGTCATTGATTGCATATTCTGGCGCGCGCGTATCGAGTCGTGTTCTACCTTTGACTGCTTTGTTCTCGGGACAGCCATTCTATGAACATTGTCATTGCTTTTTCGTGGTTGTGTGTTTTATATATTGTCTTTTTATATGATTTGCCATTAATGGAACTGTGGTATACTGGAACTTTATTTGCCTTTTAATTTCATAATCTCACTTTATTAATGTCTTATTTTTTATAAAAACACCTCAAAATATTATTTAACCTTCCACCGGTGGCGCCAAGTCTGACAGACCCGACGCTACTGTATTCGTTCGGCACTCTTCGCGTTACCGCGATATATTGCTGTACGTCTGGGTACCTTCCTAATTTGATGTCTATTAGTCACGTTGCAGAGAGTGTGAGGATAGTTTGTATAGTTTGCGAAATATTGTGTGAAAAGTCTGACAGACCCAGCGCCACCGTTTGTGTTATAAGTTTCTGTATAGCGTTCAATTATTTACTTCGGTGCTTGTGTACTAAATAATTTCATTAGGTAAATTTTTGCTGTTGTAATAACTCAACTGGATCTATGATACAAAATTGAAAGATTGTATATTCGATAATTGATCGTTGTTGCAGGTATGAGTTACGAAAGGGAGCAATCACGATTACGTAAACTTTGGGAAGAACTTGAACGTGAGGAGGTAGCTGACGATGATGAGGAGGAATTGGCTCAAGAAGAAGATATAGTGGAGAATAGAGACGCTGACAGTGAAACCGAAGAAGAAGCGGACAGCGACGAGGGCAATGAAGAGAATATTTCTGCAGTAACCTTACGAGTACCGCAGTTTCTTGGAAAAGACGGAACGTCCAAATGGCTAAAACGTTGCCCAAACAAAAGAGTGAGAACAAGAAGAGATAACATAATTCGCATCCATTTGCCAGGTGTCAGGGCAGTTGCGAAAAATGCGAAATCTGTTCAAGAATGTTGGTCACTATTCTTTACAGAAGAAATGCTCAATTCAATTGTTGACAACACAAACAAATACATATCGAACGTGATGTCAAAGTATACAAGAGAAAGAAATGCAAGAGTTACTGATATTGTTGAACTGAAAGCATTGTTTGGTTTATTATATTTAGCTGGTGTTTTAAAAAGTAGCCGCCTAAGTACTGAAGAATTGTGGGATAGAAACTCAACAGGTGTTGAAAGATTCTGGCTTACTATGTCCCAGCAGAGGTTTTTATTTTTATTGAGATGTTTACGTTTCGATGATCTAACAACGAGAGAGGCCAGAAAACAAATAGACAAACTAGCACCAATACGAGATATATTTGATTCCTTTGTTCAAAATTGTAAATCCGCCTACACAATTGGAGAAAACGCTACGATTGATGAGAAATTGGAGGCCTTTAGAGGGCGCTGCGGTTTCAAACAATATATTCCTAATAAGCCAAATAAATATGGAATAAAAATATTTGCACTAGTGGATGCCAATATGTTTTATGTTTCTAATTTAGAGGTTTACGTGGGCCAGCAGCCTGAAGGTCCATTTCGTGTACGTAATGACACCTGCAGTATTGTGCAACGAATGGTAGCTCCTATATCAGGGACCAATAGAAACGTAACGTGCGACAATTGGTTTACCACGTTTCCCCTCATAAATATTTTGCTAAGAGATCATAGGCTTACTTATGTTGGAACTGTAAAAAAAAATAAACCTGAACTACCTCAGGACTTTGTAAATACGAAACCACGTGCTCTATTTTCATCTATGTTTGGCTTCCAGAAAGACATTACCATTGTCTCTTATATTCCTAAAAAAGGTAGAAACGTAATATTAGCTTCTAGTCAACATCACGATGATGAAATTGATATGTCAACAAACGAAAAGGTGAAACCGTCGATCATAACATTTTATAACCAAACGAAAGGCGGAGTAGATACCTTGGATAAACTGTGCGCGACATACGATGTGGCTAGAAACACACGACGATGGCCCATGGTAATATTTTATGCCTTACTCAACATGGCAGGAACTAACTCGCAGATTATGTTTGCTGCCAATAATCCCGATGCAGCACCCCCAATAAGGAGACAATTCCTAAAGACACTTGCTATTAATTTATCAGAAGATCACTTGAAGCGTAGATCTTTACAGCAAAATTTGCCACGAGTAGTGCGAGAGCGAAGACAAGAAGTTGCGGGAACGTCCTTGAATGTGGTACAACCGGAAGAAATTCCTCAGGGAATAAGAAAGCGATGCCATTGTTGTCTAAAAGATTCCAAGACGAAATATTATTGTTTCAAATGTAAAAAGTTTATCTGTCTCTCACACTCTCAATTTCTTTGTTTACTATGTAGACAAACGTTTGAAAGTATAAACGTGTAAAGAACTCACATTGTAGTTATGATCACTGAAGGCATTTTTATTTTGTTTTGTTTATAATGCCTTTTTAATAGAATAACTGTTATTTTGTTACCTTTCTGTTATGTTTTGGGAAACAAGCAATAAAATTATTTTGTTTGGTAATTGTTGGGTATTTGTTCGGTACATCTAATGCAGTATATTATTGATCATAAATTACTTTAACTTGTATACACAAATGACCCGTAAATACAATAAGGTATACAAAAAAAAATTGGGTCTGGTAGACCCGGCGCCACCAGTCATGTAAAGAAAGGGGGCGCCACCGGTGGAAGGTTAAAGAAAATTATATGCTACGGGGACATTGTTTACAGACGCTTTGGCTAAAATTAATACCATAAAAGAAATTTTTAAATCGATCAAACAGAAAAAGTAGGATTTTCGGGAATAGTTTCTTATAGCAACAAGTACTTGAAGTCAATTTCTAATTGTTTTATCCAACACTAAAGTAATATTTACTCTGTGTCAGTTTTAATAGTTTAATAAACAGTATTAAATATAGTAGACAAGTATTTATTTATTTATTTTTTTAAATTTGAAAAAAACTAATTTAAGATTTTGTATATGTTCCTGTAAACTTGTGCTAAATATTACTAAATCGTCCATGAAGGCACAACATATTTTATTTTGAAGTTCTTTCAAAACTTCGTCTATCGCTCGCTGAAAAGTACTAGGTGAATTTTTAAGACCAAACGGCGTCCTTAGAAACTCGTAGTGTTCATTGAAAAAGTCAATTATAACTTATTGTAGAATTGATAACATCAGTCTCCCAATGTCAGGAATATTACAAAGTGAGAAATAGGGTAGGTTTAGCAGGTTAACTATTGTGTATTGATTTTCTACAGTTAGGCATCGCTTTGCAAAGTTAGTACTTGAAGAGGCGACGTACCTAAAGAGCCTAAATAATCTGCCTGCGTAGTAACATACTACAGCTGGCAGGCGTTAAACTAATGAGTACGAGATATAGCGTAAGGTGTGCCATCCTTCAGAGGAAGATGTTAAGCCGTCAGTACATAGATGTTGGGCTAGTTAAAGATTAAGCTGGGCCGTTCCATATTGGAAGTAAAAAAATTGTTTTCTTTCGGGCTTATCGAGAAAAGGTGTATTTAGATGTATTTATATCACACAAAAAATAGAGCTTAAATTGGATTTCATCTTCTGCCTCCGAAATGTCTATGAAATTAGAGACATTTTTGGAAAAAGTCATTGTAGTACTTTGAAAAAGGATTAATAAAATTTAATCATAAAATAAAATACAATTTTATTAGTTATATTTTTTGTATTGGAAGTATAAGATGTAAAAAATACTTATATTATAAATCATAATCATAGCATTAAAAATTAGGATGAAATTTTGCTTACTTCCAAACTTTGGCATATCTCTACGAGACTCAATTTGGGCTTTTATGAAACCTTCTCTGTCATTTTTTTGCTCAACTTAGTTGAAGCCCCAGTAATAGTCACTGCTCTTTTAACTTCTTGAGTATGGCATGGCATACGTAGTAAAGAAAAGACTTCTTTTTCTTCCTTTACGATAAACATTTGGATATCTTCGTCGGATATCATTTTTAATATTGGTGGTTCCTTTATTTAATTCTGCGAGTCATAAGATTGGCCTAAGATTATGCGTTGAGGTTTATGAAAGGAACTTGAACAAGTCAAAATCTATTTCGTGGAATACTACGGGCTTTTAAAATGCGACGTGCGCTTAGTTTACATATGTGCTTTTGGTAATCAGTTACTATAACCACCAATAGGTTTTCAGGGTAAGCCAAATAAGGTTTTCACGGTAAGCAAAATAACCGTTCCTTTAAATTACCGGATCGACTAGAGCTTTCGGTTCTGTGGGTAAATATCTAGTAGTAGATATGAGTTGGTAAACATATCAAGCTACATCTTATGAACCAGGTTGGAGTGTAAGCATTGACGACATACGTTATAAGAACCACTAGGTTTTCAGAAAGATATTCTGTCTAAATATACAAACGTATTCTATTAGCGTGAGTTATTCATCGGATATGAGACATTTTCCCTGACGATTAGTTTCCCAAATTAAAAGGAAATTTACTTGTTACCGCTAACACAATTCTATATAGATATTTTTGATCAGTCCTCATACATTCTGCAGGTTTCTCGGGTAAATCCGCAGGAATGGGATGACATTAAACAACAGTTCTTCTCACAGTTTTCTAGATATCCACGGATGGTCCTGAAAATGGATTGGGTCCCGATGGGTCCCGGATAATTGTTCGTAAACCTTATTATCGAAACTAAATGATCAAAAATTCAAAATATCGAATATTAATTGATCAAAAAATATGTGATCGAAATAACGAATGATCAAATAGCAAATGATCGAATAAAAAATATTCGAATATCAAGTTATCGACAATTATTTATTCGAAAATAAATTTAGATGCATCATTTAAAATTTCGCTGACAATTCAATTGTAAATAGATTTATTTGGCAAATTTTGACATATCTTACTCTATCATAACCACCTATATTAACTTATCATGATTGTATTTACCACTTTTGATAACACAACACTATGGCTTTAGCAAAGAGCGTTTGTCAAAACAGTGCACGAACGAAACAGCGCTTTTTAGAATAGCGTTATTCAAAATAGAGCCAACAATTAACATAAAATTAATAAATAAAAAAACTAAACTAATTTATTTAACCTGTGTAGCATAGAGTCATCGCGGGTTGATTAAAAAAAAAAAAAAAATATTTATAAACAGAAAATAAAAAAAATAAATAATTTACTCAAACTGTGCGTGAGCGATTATTTAATTTTAAATGGCTCCGGGCCACACAGGTTAGGTAAATTAGTTAGGTTTTTTTTGATCACATTTTGTAAAAACAATTTTTGAAAAGCGTTATTTCGTTTAACGGTATTTTGTGACAGATGTTCAATACTCACTATTTAAAAAGGCGCTTTTTTAATTTTAAATGGCTCCGGGCCACACAGGTTAGGTAAATTAGTTAGGTTTTTTTTGATCACATTTTGTAAAAACAATTTTTGAAAAGCGTTATTTCGTTTAACGGTATTTTGTGACAGATGTTCTTTCAATACTCACTATTTAAAAAGGCGCTTTTTTGACCAACGCTCTTTTGATATGCGCTATTTTGAGTAGGCACTGTTTCGTTCAACGCTATTTTAATAAGGCGCTCAAATAATAGTTCTATTCTGATACTATCTATTGTGTTTAGCGCTATTTCATGACAGAGCCCAACACTATTATTGTATTTATGTAATATAGAGTAGTCTTGTTTAATAAACGCAAAACTAGTTTTATTTTTCACAACTATATTTTGTATTTTCAATATTTTTGAAATTCGAACAACAACATTCAATCAAATGTATTTGAAAAGTTGTCCGGGACCCGGTCACGATGTGCTGCCATCAATATGCAGGAACATGTGACGAAAAGGCAGTTCATTCATGCGAAGAATATAGATTACCAATTGAAGATGATGTCTCATTGGTGATTAATATTTAAATTGGTTTCATCATACCCCACCACCAGAAAATTACCCATAGAAATAGCTTCTTTCAAGAAGAAGTCAGTGATTTATTTTTCTATGCATTTAGAAGTGGCAGCATCTGTTGCAATAAAACCCAAGAATTTGATTTTTGGTTCTTTAATCAACGAAATGTGATCTTCAAGAATTCTCTTTCTATACATTTTCCCGTCTTTTTAGGTAGAATTTTTAAATAAACCATTTTTGCAGTATATATTTTGTGGATTTATTTTCGTTTGTGAAGATTGCCACATCTATACAGTTTAATAGCTACGATTTAATCGTTTTATTTTATTTTTAAATTATACATTAGTCAATTGATCTTTCCTCACTGCTGACACTCGTGAAAGTTTAGGATATAGTAGCATAGCTGCATTTGTCCTTTTGGCATTTTTAAGTGCATGTATAAAATTAATTATTTCCTTTGGATGTTCAAACAAGTAGTAATGCTAAACTAATGTAACACTTTTTTAATTATTGTTGCCTTAGGAGTTAAAGATAGTGATTCTTAATAAAAGGGACGTCCAAATAGACGTCACATCGCGTGCTAATAATAGAATTATTATTAATATAAGTTTCAACCGCAAAAAATGAATATTTGACCATGCTTACATATTCAGAAATAACCTAATATGATATGAATTAAATTTAAAACAGGATACTTCATTTTGCTTAATTTTTTTATAAATAAAATCCTTGCTATTGGTAGGAAGAGGGTCAATGTCCAGAAAACGCCCTATTTTGAGTTATTGGCAATTTTAAAGTATTTTTGTGTCGTAAGGTATATGATAAACTTGTTATGGTTAATTTTAGTTTAAAAGAAAAAGAAAAAATGACATATCATATCATTCAGTTTCTGAAATAATTTCTAAAAACTAAATATCTGAAGTACATTAAGTTTATACCAGATAATAAAAAAAATATAAGTAGTTTAGTTAGACTTTTGACTTGTTTGTTATACCTATTTCAAATACGTTTGTAAATATTATGTAAATTATTTAATTTAATTTTTTAATAACTCTTGAGTTTATTTTGAGAATCCAATGCTATTATTTCTCTAAATAGTCCAAACTCAATAAATTAGTTCTTCCATATTATGAAATTTTACTGTGACGGAACTCTATTAAATAATATTTTTTTAAAATTCCTACCTTTGGAACGTACGCTGCTATTTTATCATTTTCTAACAAAATGTCTCTAATAACATTTATAACTTCTGAAAATTGACTTTCACCAGGAGGTGTTAATACATTGCAGCATAGTGGTCTAATTTCTTTCTGGAATACATCCGGCTTTTTAAGTTTTAAAGCTAGAACTGTTGCTTGTAAATTTGCTAGGTCTTTTATTACTATTCGAGATTCTTCTAAGTTGTAGCCTATATGTCTATCTATATTTTTGTACCCTACAAAAATTAAAAGAATTAAAAATAGTATTAACTCAAATGTAGAGGGGAGCATTGCTTAATGGTTAGTCTTGACTTTTAATTTCAAGGGTCCAAGGATTCAAGGTCCCACCATTACTGAATTTTTTGGTTTTAAATAACAGCGATGTTACCAAAGTGACGTGATAAACTGTCATTAATCCTGCATAGAATACGCATTAAAAAAAAAACACAAAAGCAAACCAAAATTGGCTAATTGGGTAGAAACTATCAAAGCAATAACACGAAAAACACAAAAAACTAAAATTATTGCGTTGAAGAAAATACAAGCAAAAGGTTAATACAAAATAGCTATTTGTGTATTAGGAACGAAAAGTGATGTTTTTTACTGGTTTCAGGGCCATATTTACCACTAGACACACTAGGCAATTGCCTAAGGGCGGAAATCATCAAAGGGGCGTCGGCGTTTTGGTATTAATTGATAATAATAAAACACTCCCTAATTCACCCCCTTACGAGTGAGTTTTAACACCAAAAGCTGAACTTGTGCGGGGAAAAGAACGGCCATTATTATTATTATTTGCCGTGGCGCTCCGATGCGACTTAAAGATGATTTATGGTGCCTTTTGACTTACAAGTGAGGAAAACCCGGAAAACCCTACCCACCATCATCGAAAACGGTAGCGTATGATGATTTTTATTTTTAATAATCTGGATGCCATATCAACAGAAATTAAATTTCTGCCAATATGGCATCCATCAAATCCTATAGAGAACCATGCAAATTAATTCAAATGGTCTTCCGTAGGATCCGAAACCCTGTCTCAATTTACCAGAAAATTGGCTGACAAATGAATGCCGCGCCGTAGACACCTACACCACCGTAGTCGATACCTGAGATAATCGAAAAACAAGAAAAAAAGATACCTTTACCTGAATTTAATTTACACTGTTTTTTTTTATTAAATAAGTACTTATTATAATCTTTATACAGTAGTCTGTGAAGAGTATTATAGGTTTACTTTGTTCGTCCATCCGAAGTCACGTTTTCGTCTGCACAATAATTCAAAAACGAAAAATGATATCAACTTGAAAATTTCAAAAAAATCAAGCTCTCTAAGGGAACGAATCTCGAAGGCAACGAAGCCTACTGATGTTGAAAAAAATCTGACTAAAAATGAGGGGGGTTGAAATATTAAATAAAAACTCAAAAACAAAAAATGGTATCATCCTAAAATGTTTAGCAAAAATTAAGCTTTGAAAAAAAATTGAATAAAAATGGGGGTGAAATTAAAAAGAAATTTAAATCAAAAACAGAAAGTGATATCAACATGAAATTTTTAGTAAAATTAGGTTCTATAAAAAGATGAAGCCCATTGATTCTAAAAAAAAAAAATCAGAAATAATTAAAATAATTAAAAATCCTAACTCAAAAAAGAAAATTGATATCAACTTAAAACTTTAAGCAACAATCAAGCTTTATAAGGTCAAGAAATCATTCGATTCAAAAAAAAATGGTTAAAAATGAAGGTTGAAATAAAAAAAAATCATGATTCGAAACGAAAAGCTATATCAACATAAAATTTACAGGGGCCAAGGGGGGTTGAAATATTAAAAAAAATCCTAACTCAGAAACAACAAACGATATCAAATTGAAATCTTCAGGAAAAATCAAGCTAGGGAGATGTAGCCAAATGATTCTGAAAATTATTTTTTTTTTTTAAAGGGGCGTTAAAGGGGTCTGTTAAACTGTGAAAAGTATAATATATAATACCAAGCATTGTATATTTTCATTCTAGTTTTATTTATTTAACGTATTAGCTGAATACAATTATTGCTAAAAACAAATATAATACGTTAAACTGAAGACGTCAAAATTTTGTTCGACGACCTTGAGTCGGCTCAATTAGATTGAGTCAATCGGACCTAACCGATAAAACAAAAGACAAGCTGCACGCAATATTGTCAAAATTATTAGATTTTTATCCATATTCTGTATTCAATGAAATTTATTAATGTGCATTTATAATGCAGTACTCAGTACTCCTATTTTTATGTTACGTTAGCAAGTAATATTTTTAATAAAAATTATATGCATTTTTGACTTTTTATGTATATATTACATTAATATATAATATTATTGTAAATCCGACACTGTTTCCCAGCTTCACTTTAGGAACAGCATTGTTAATTAGAACCCAACAGTATATGGTCGAGTGTGAAATCCTACCTATGTATTAGAATTAATATTTAATACATCAAACTAAATGAAAATCCCTGCCACCAGTGGTATTCTTAGGTAACCCCAAAAAGTAGAAACCATTTTACATTTTCGGCGGATTTTATAGTTATCTCTATCAGTTTTTGTTTATTGAAGATTATTTATCGATTTTAGGTTTTCTTTTGTTGTTACTTTGGCTAATTATATTTAATTTATATCGTGAACAGTACACATACAAATCGTGCATCCTGCTCGTATGAAACAATAAAAGTTTTTATTTAATTTATACCTTATTATCATTTTTTTTATATAAAATGTGATCCAATGAAAAGTATCCACCCCCTTTTCTTCATTCCTTCAGATTTAAAGAAAAAATGCTCTCGGACACGTCGATTTTTGTTTGGAGGGGGACACATTTTTTTCCTAATTGTATCATTGATACTTCAACCCCTAGATAGGGAAACTGCGTGACACAATTTTGAAAAGGTAATTTTATGGAAAATTATATTTCAATAGAAAATTACATTTCAATTTGGTTAGTTTTTTGAGTTTACCTACTTTCAAAAAAACTAATAATCTGTCAAATTGATTTTTTAAAGATTTATTAAAACGTTAATTTAACAGGTGTTGAAAATGTGACCCATTTGCTTCCATACAATATTACAAATTTTGTTCAAATCTATTGCGAACATTTTGTAGAATTTTAGGTGTTATTCTCCTGCACTTAGCTACTATCCGTTGGCGAAGATCTTCTATGAAATTAGGCTTCGTAGCAAAACATTTATTTTTCAAGTGTCCCCAAAGAAAATAGTCCAGAGGCGATATATTCGATGACCTTGCAAGCCATTCAATTGGGCCTCTTCTTCCAATCCACTGTCCAGGGTACCGGTTATTCAAAAATTCTGTTGGAAATGAAATTGGTCAACATGATGATTTGGGTCATTTTCTAATATTTCTGTTATTAGAGGGTCAATTTCATCTTCAAGAATGTTTAGGTACACTTCACCAATTAAATTTCTTGGAATGAAAAGTTTTCCTACAATATGGTTACCTAATATGCCACACCAGACATTTATTTTCTCAGGTTGTTGGGTATAGTACTTACAGAATAAATGTGGGTTACTGTCATCCCAGTAACGGCAATTATGCCTATTGAAAGACCGCTGCATTCAAATGAAATGTACACTCATCAGAAAAACAAATATTAAATAATAAGTCACAGGATCTGCAATTAAATACTGGCTCATTTCGTCACAAAACTGCAGCTTTCTATCAGGATCATCCTCGTTCAGCTCTTATACTAATCTAGTTTGGTACGGATGAAATTTGTAAGATTTTAAAATCCTTCTCATAGATGAACGAGAGACACCCGAGAATTCAGCTAGTTGACGAGTACTTTGCATATGATCCAATTCAACATGTCCCAAGTATTGGAAAACTTTTGGACTATTTTGGTAACATACGAATGATTCACGTTTTTATTGGGATGATTGTTATTAAACAACTGAGCAGTTCGCCTAGCGCAACTATTATTTTAAAAATAAAGTTTCACAATTTTAATTCGTTCAGGAATGGAATAAAGCATTTTTTTTTTTTTTTCAATAAAATTAAAATAATTTTAAAAGCAACCAAATTGTAAAGAAACCACAATGAACATTTGCCTAAATTGTTTTCTTATTTTATTTCTTTACTAGGAAACGTTAAATCAAAAATTTCGTTTTGATATAGTAGATGTAGTTTTTATTGGAATTTCAGTAGTTTTTATTTAAATAAGTAATTTATTACCTACTTATTGTAGTTGTTTTGACTCTTAATAATCAAAATTTAAGTGAATTTTTTAATGTGTATAATACAAAAAGCGTAGGGTTGAGGTTTCTAAAACCCTTTTCGGATTAACTGTTCAAGTAAAATCCAATAAATAGGGTATTATAAAAAAACAAATTGTCTGCTTTTTAAAATATTTAGCTCTTCTCCCCACTTTCCCCACGAAGGGGTTGAAGATGTGGATTAAAATGTATGCTTCAAATGTGTCCCTCAATAAACAAAAATCGACGTGTCCGAGCATTTGTGCATTAAAGGACCCCGCACACCGCTTATGGAAAAGTGGCGACCTGTTAAATGTCATAAATTTTTGATATGTTGCAGTTCTCGACCTCCTAAGCAATAGTGTCCACGGGACCATTCCAATCCTATGACTGGTTTTTGAGATACAGGGTGTTAAACTTAAAAATACCACTTATTTGATAACGGTTATTTCAGGAGAAAGCTAATCGATTATAATTTTTTGTTTCAAATCTTATTGTAACATCCTTTGGCATTCTACGAATATAAAAAGAGGTCAAAAATTATTTTCTATTACAGGGTGAGCCACAAATAAGTAAGGACGTGTTTTTGATAAATACATTTATTGTTCTAGAAGATAAAAATATTTACTAAAAAATAAATTATTGCTATAGTTATTATGTATGATGATAATACAAAAGATATTAGGTGCCAATTATACAGGGTGATTCGTAAATATTAATATAGGCCAATATTTTTTTTTATAAGTATTAATGTGAAACGCAGTATTTTTACGGGACTTTTTTGTATTTACGATATATAAAATTATCCAATTCATTGACTACAGGGTGATTTAATAAATATATTGATAGGTAATTTATTAAATGTGTCAAAAATACAATTTTTTTAAGCACCTTATATTTTATTATTAGTCCTGTAAAAGTATGAATATTTTTTCAATGGCGTATCATCCGTCCTGTAGCAGATATTTTCCAAAATAACAGCTCTTTTCTATGAT